AAGCTTAGGATTGGAGACACACAGAACCCATAGGATTGTGTCTTCAAGGACAGTGCAGCTCTGTGGTAGCCAGGAATAGCAGACAGGAGGTTTGAGGCAGTGGTTAACACAGACCCAGCTAAAACTGCCTTGAGCGAAAGTGAAATGAAACCGACGAACTGATTCCTGAGACGGAAAAGCCCAGGGCGGGGACAGACGGACTGACCTATGCCCGAAGGTGTCAGGAACCTGTTGTGGTCTTTGCCTTCCTCCTCGTGACTCCGTTCTCAGGCCGACTGTCCCCTAAAGAAGGACAAGGTGGCCACCTGCAGCCCCACACTTGTTTTCTGCCACCTTAGCAACGTCGCGGCGAAGGGCACTTCTTTCCTAGTATCTCTGGTGAGACTCTCAGCCGGGGTCTTGCTGCCCTTTGTTGAGCCCCTCGCCACGTCGGGGGCTCTGCTCGGCCACGCCTGGATCCGTGTGCTCACCACACCTGGGGCTAGGGGGTGGGTCTGGCCCAGCTAACCCAGGTGGAGAGATGGAGGGAATTGCCTTAATAAGTGATGATAAAGGATAATTAGAGAAGAAAACCCTGGGGCTAGTGTAGGCTAAGGGAGTGGACCCAAGAAGGATGCGTTTGGAAGGGGGCCCTTCCCCAAGGCTGGGGCGCAGATGTAGATGGAGACGGGCGAGTGCAGGCTGCTGGAAGGCAGGGCAGGAGCTGCTCTGCAGGCACGGGGCAAGCAGAAAGCGACCCCCAGGGTGCACGTGGGGCGGCCGGCACAGCTGGTGGTTGACACGTTGGCTGTGCCGGGGGAATGGGACACTGGGGCTACAGTGACAGGAGGACCTCGGAAGACAAGCCTGGGGGTGAAGGGATCAGGGTGCTGGTGCAGAGGAGACAGGATATCCCTACTGTGAGGGCCCCGGGGAGGTCTCCAAAGGCCACGGCGGGGCCTGGAGGACTCCAAGGGACAGCACGTCCTGGGCGCGGGGCTGGGCAGAGCGCCATTGGGTGGCCTCACGCCTGTGCCACTGATCCCCTGGGCCGCTGCCTGGGCAGCACAGGAGAGCCTGTCTTCCAGCGGTGTCCCTCCAGGGCCCTCTATGTGAAAGCTCAGCACTGTGCTCACTGTACGGGAGAGGCAGAAGGGACCTACGTCTGTCATCCCAGAGCAGGTATTGAAGG